AGGTCCTAGGCTTCCACCGGCTAAACCGGGTGAGGTTGGTGCTCTGTAAAGCGCATGCGCGAATCTGGTTTTTTGAATGCTGACAATACAGCGTTTCCACTCCGCTACTCCGCCACTAATATTCGAATATACAATAGCGATCTTATCTTTTTTTTCACGTGTAGTATAGAAATTTGTAATAAGATAGATAATGCGGTTATAATAAAATATTGTGCGATTATTTTCATATAATTAAAATTAATATGTATTTATTTTTTAGAAAATACAAGGGAAGCGGCGCATCCACCGCTTCTAATGACGGCACGCCACTGCTGTATATCTACCTGCGATCGAAAACTTCCACCGCTTAACTTGTCTCTGTAAAGAATAAATTTTTAAAAATATATGCATATTTTGATATTTTATTGTCATTTTCATTTTGCTTATCAGAATATAATTTCATTTTTCATAATAGTAAAATGTAATTTCATTCTATTAGATCAGTTTTAGTTTTGATATTATATCGATGTTATTTATCTGTTTGGACTTTAAGTTGATATTTAAGCTGATGACTAGGATAGATCAGAGGTTAGATAGGTTTTATTTCATTTTACACTTTATACGAATTTAAAATACTAAAAGTACTTCATTAATCTGCAAAGCTGAAATATATTATTGCAAACACACTACACATGAAAATGTTTAGTGTGTTTGCAATGACATATTTTACTCTCTCCGCTCGTGGGCAAATAAGAGGACGTTTTTTTCCAAGCCCATCGTTGGTTTGGCCAGATCTATAACAAGCGGCCAGATGGCGAGGGATGGGTCTGACGTACGAGACGGTCATTCGAAAACATTCAGGAGTTTTCAACTCGCCTGAGTTTGATCTCGGGTTCTCTCAGAGCAGTTGCCTTAACCGCCTCGGCCACCAAGCCACTAAATTTCAAAAGAATGTAAAGCAATTTTTCGAAGTATGCTATGTAGGCTTAATCAAACCGAGTTTAAAATATGTAAGTTTATATTATTTATGAAAGCTTAGCTTGACTGAATTAAAAATCTATTTATTCTAAACAAATTTCTAACTAGCGTAAGGGTATCGAAAATTCAGGAATAAAACTAGTACACAATTAGGCCTAATCTAAGATGATGTAGTCTAACTTGTAAGTCGTGTTTCGAGGATTATTCTTGAAAACAGGAGATGAATGATCATGTAAAACACAAGAATATATGATTATGTGTAATTTTTGGATCGAATTTTATTTCAAACCTTATATACTTTTATCAAAATAATAAAAATCAACAGAAGATCCTATCATTTATAGAGTCGGACTTAAGCGTCGGCAAAGTAAACAATTGCCTAGGGCCAGTGGACGAATGGATTAAACCACAGAACACTGGCCGTGCATTTGCGTCTAACGGGCTAGCTACGTGGCGTTTTCCGGTTTTTCTTCTCGTGTTTAACACCTAAATAGAGACTAATTCCCCATAGAAAGTTTTTCCGGAAGATACTTCCTCTTAACAGAACGTCCAAGTGTTGCGCTGCAGCATTCCATCAAGCCAACCAAACCGTAAATCAATATGTAAATTAAAACAGGAATAAAATTTTACGTATAATTATATTTAAAAATGAGAACACAATAACATTCGCAGCTTCAAGAGAATTCAACAGAAAATATAACAAAATTGATTCCTATTTTGAGGAAAGCTGGATCGAAAATTTTGTTTAGGATCCAACTTTCTTCCATCCGACAATGATTATTTGTACTGACACTAACAATTTAGATAAACGTTATAATTTAATGTTTTATAGTGTATTTAGTCTGTCATTCTTTGTATCTAAAAGACGAAATTTTACAAGTAATAAACTTTAAATTTCGAAACTACAACAAAATGTGTGAAAACTCATTCACAGGACGGAAAATGCTGTTGTCATCTTATTAGCATACGAATATCAATTTTAACTTTTTAAAAGACCTTTTTAATCCAATTTAGTGGAATGTATAATTTTTTAAATTTAATATAAAGCGTTAAAATTTAATATTATGTATTATAACATATGAAAATTGATAGAATATGTAATAGCGATTTCACTTAAAACCACAAGATGGCATTATTAATACCTGCAATGATTGAAAGAGGTGATGTGGCAAGCCGATTCACAGTACTCTTCCGCCAAAATCGTAAACACATTTTAATTATATTAAATTGATATAAAAAGATACAAAAAATTCAAGATAAATATATATTAGAAACGTGTAATATGTTAATCAAATTTTATAATACTTAATGACGTTAATTTGTATAACCAATAGTTATAGGTACTGCTTTTTTCATCGTCGTTGTTTGCGAGTGTTAATCCGCTAGAGGACGCCATTTTAGATTAATCCGTCAGAGAAGCCGGTTGTTTGTAACTTGTGAAGAGAAATTCGTTTAGGATTAATAGGTTGTGGCCCGCCAGACGGTGGACATAGACATCAAACATGACGCAAGTATTGCCAATTAGATTCCAGGAGCATTTACAGGTGATTATTTGCTTTTATAAGTCTTTCTTCACTAAGCCTAAGTCAGCTTTGGGGTGGAACGAAGAACGCCCCTTCGGGTGATTCTGCGAAAATTATCGGAAGTTTTACATCGTATATACTACAATTAATTACATTTAGACAATATAATTTCTTTTCTTGAAATTGAACTGTTTCATTTGCATTAAGCTCATCTCGAAAGATAATGTTTGAGTCATTTAGGGAAATTATATGATGAATTGAAACTTTAAACATTTTTAACGAGTAATTTCGATAGACTCTTATCAAATTCCTCGAATTTATTTCCTCCATAAGTGCCCAAACATGATATACTATAAATCTGAATGGTTTTTACACATTCACACAGAAGTATTTCATTTGAGTCATTAGGAATTGTTTAAATTAAAAATTGCTGTAAAATATTGAGAAATAATAATTAATCTGCAGTTTTTTCGGTACCAATTTTTCTTATTCTATAAATGTTAATAAATCTCTGTTAAAAGTAAACTTAATAATAGTTTAACTCATGAAATACTTATCAAGTTACAAACAATAAATCCATTATATTGAAAATTCAATGTTGAATTTTACTTTTGTAAGAAATGAAGAAAAGTCACTTAAAGAATTTAATTCCCAATTGGTAATTACAGTAATGTATTTATAAATTTAATAAATTAAGTTTTTAAATGTATTTCATGGATATTTTTCATTTCCTTCTAAAGTAAGTTTTTCGTTCAGGTGACCTGTTTAATAAGAGCAAATATTAATAAATTCTCTACTGCAAATTAAAATGTTTAATGGATACTTTACAATATCTGAAACAGGTGACTTATTGTTAGAAACTTGATGGTTGATGATTAGATATCAATAATTGTGAAGTAGGCCTATATTCAGAATTAATTTTATGTATTCAAGTTCATTGATTTATCTTATTTTTTAATCAAATTTTGATTATTACATTAAAGAACTGATATATATTATAAGAGATCTTAAATTATTTTGAATTAAACCAGCATCCTGATTTTTATAAAAAAAAAAAACAAGCTTATATTTGAAAACTATGCTGCTGATATGTATTGTTCAAATCAAATATCAAATAATCAAAAAGCTTATTTAATATTCAAAGATAACATTGCAGTTATGATGATTCCTTGTGCCAGTGTAAACCAGTGTAATATAAACCACACCCAGTATCATGTGGGTTGTAAAGTTTTATGTATCACATGACTTTATATAAAATATATTTTTATAATCTTGGTATGTATTTCTGTTTTCGGTTTTAATATAAATTGTGCTTCAGAAGTAATGTAATGTAATAAATTATTTGGTTAACATGATGTTAATTTTTTCAATGTTTTATTTGTCGTTAGTTTGAACCATAATAAATTCTCATTTTGTACTTTGGTAATAGCATTGAGTTTTGGAGGTTTCAATAAGTTTTAGATATGTAGAATCATGTAAATAAATCATTAGTAGCAGTATAAATTTATATGCACTAAGATCTGTATAATAAAAATATTCTTAATTTTATTTAGAATTGTCTTGGATTGATTTATAATTTAAAACTTTAAATGTACAAAGCTTTTATACACAAGTTTTATTTAGAACACTGAGTTGATATGTAATTTAAAATAGTACAATATTTAAATGATTTGTCAGAATTAATTTTTTTAACTTAATGTAAAATTTGGTTTTCAGAAGTTTGTTAAAATTCAAGGATCTTAAATAAAAATAAGTTTACATGGCCAACGATTATTTAATATTAATATAATAAATATAAATACAACTTTTTTACAAAGAGAGATTCTTTGTTTCAGTCATTTTTCCGTTTGCACCATCAGCAGTTCATTAAAAACCATAAATACTCACGGAGACGACCTTCCTTTTTAGGCTACTGCCTCCGTAGTTAAAATGCAAAAAATGATAAAAGCATACTCTGGTGTTCTTGCCACAATCACATGACACATTTTAAATAAAAATAATAATTTTACATGGCCAACGAAATGACTGAAACAAAGAATTTTTCTTTGTAAAAAAGTTGTATTTATATTTATTACATTAATATTCAAGGATCTTGTTAAGTATTGAATTTTAAACTTGATTCAAATTGCTTATGAAATAGACCAGGAAGTACTTTATTAGGTTAAACATTTTCAGAATTGTTAAGTTCCATCTTCAGGCCAAAGATGATAATCATTCTGATGAAATAAATCAAGTGTTACCATTACTATTTAAATCTAATAATCCAAATAAATATTGGAAGTATGAAATCAAACTGGAAGTTTGCAGTAATGTTATATAATTTTTAATCTTGTGACTTGAAGTTCAATTTGTATTGAACATACGTTTTTGAAAATTCATTCACTTTTCCACTTTAGTCTTAGAGAAATAAAGATTTGTTTGATATTACAACTGTATGAATGATCATGTCTTAGGGTTTATAGCAATCATGGAAAACCTGTAAAACAAAATTTTCATGGATTTAGAAAAGAATCTTATGGAAATTGCTGCTTTGTGTTAATGTTACATGCTTAAAAGAAAAATAAACAAAATTGTTTTACAGGGTGGTGGTGTTAGGTTTTTGTAGGGAGGCAGAAATCAAATGTCTGTCCATAGTTTTCTTACATCATATTTTAATAAAAATTTTTAAATGTTCAAAGTTTTAATTGTATGTAGTCTGTAGTTTTGTACAGCATCTAACTTCAAGAGATCAAAGGGTGCATTTGGAAACTAGGTTTTATCAAATTGAGTGCTCCAAACAGGTTAGTTGGCTCAGAATCCAGCACTTACAGATGTTTGGTTAACAGTAAAAAATTCCTGGCTTATAGGAGTTACTGTGTACTGATGACTGTTGTAGAAGAGAGTGCACACTAGTATATAAATGAGATTAAATCAAAATTAACATTGGGTATGTTCATAAAGTTGAACGAGTTAAATGCGTTAGTAACGAATCGTTCTAAAAGTAGTAGTGCGCATGCTCTGTGATGATGACGTTTCAAATGAAACTCTAATGAAGTTCATGAAGGAAAGAGTTGGTTCACTTTGTTAAGAAAATGGTGCCTGATGATATCGATGTATCTAAATCTACTAGAGTATTTAAACTGAAGGTGAAATGATAGAAATAACTGTCCACCCAAAGCAATCTAAGAAAAATATTTTGGATAAGGCTTCACTAGCAACATTCATATCTTTGATTTTAGAAACAGCCATTTAGTTATAAACGAATCGGTTGAAAAGTCTAACGAAATAAGAATAACAAAGATGTCATTCTCGTTTAACTTGTTTGACTTTACAAACATACCCATTATTGACTTCCAATCATCAATTTTTGCAATTGCAATCAGTGTCAGATAGTTATATTTTGTTGATTGCCTGTAAGATGGTGTTTTGTCACTGTCTCCCAGATGGTTGAATGTATTGGTATTGATTGACATTCTCTTCATTTTGTTACATTGTAAATTATAAGAAATTAGTGATACTTTGTTTAGAAGCAAATGCAAAAACATACTAGCTGTTATTTTTTTACTCTTGCCCTGTGAGCACTAAAACTTTTTATCAAGTCCATCATAGTTTGGTCAGCTCTATAATGGAGCAGTTGGGTGGGTAGGAACAGGATCCTGCATATTCAAGACAGACCACCTCCAAAACTTCTGGTGTTTTTCAACCTGATTGTATTTGATTTTCAAATTTCCTAGTGATAAGCCATCTGGCTGGATGGCGAATCTTAACTGCTTGGCCATCTGGCTGTCATTTAGCTTTTTGTATACAGTAGAGCGTCAATTATCCAAAAGTCAATTATCCGAAAGAATTCCAGTTGGCAGATTTAAATTTTCGCCAGTGCTGTGGCGCTGCAATCTTTGTTTTTAATGATACAATAGTCTTCATAAGGGTTAACATCGACAAAAATTCAACATGGGATAGGTTAATATATTTTTTCGTACATAATCGGTTATCCGAAATATTGATTTTCCGAATAACCCCAGTCCCGGATAATCGATTGATTCGGATAATCGACGCTCTACTGTATAACTATTAGTGATGGGATGATTAATTGGAAATTTGAAAAAATTGGACATTTCCTGGTAACTGGAATTGAGTAAATCTCATTATGATTTCTGATTCTTCCGTATTTAATAAGAAAATTGTTTCAGTTGTAGATTAAAAATTTTTTAAAAATTATATTAGCAGTTAAGTATTAATTTATTGGAAACTTTCATATTGACGAAGCAGAGTATGCCATATCACTCATACATGATGCAATGTCTGTCATGGCAGACTTTTCTTGTGTAGTCAGTGATGAGATTGCACTTGGTCAGTACTAACTGTTCCCATTTTAGGAAAGGGTGACATTAGGGTTGTCACTTGGCCAGCGTTAGGCCAGCTTGATCAGCAATTTCAAATCAAGACTGATGGTCAGCAAAAATTTTTAATGTTGGCAAAACAGTTTAAAATATCAATATAAACAAAATTTATATTTGAATTGAAAAATATTATTTAAAGTTATTTTAAATTTTTACATAAAAATATACTAATTAAATGTATTACAGCATCATCTGTGAATCAAAAACTTTCATAATTATAATGTTTGACTCACAGATTCATAATGAAAGTTTTTGATTCACAGATGATGCTGTAATACATTAAATTTTTAAATATGATTCAAGTGATTCTAAGGAAAAATACTTGTTTGTACTGTATTGCCAGTTTGAGTTTTAAAAATTGAGTTTTCAAGATATCAGTTTAAACTTTGTGGCTTAACCAATTTTTGAATTCATTCTCTTGTGATTTGTTCAGCTCATTGCATCATTTGCCAAACCTCATTTAATGTTAAATACAATGGAGTTAAAGCATTTACAAGGCTTGCTGATTGTGAGAAGCATGAAAAAAAAGTGCATTTTCTCATTTAGATTCCCCCATTTCCTGTCATTGCATCTGCAAAAGCAGCAGTTTCCAAAGGTTGTGATCCTAGATGAATTGATGGGATAGTTCTTTTGAGTAAAAGG